TCAGTGCCTTACAGTTCTTTGTGTCCCTTGTGCTCCAGGGTCGCCCAACACAACCCTTCAGGTGCACGGGCTGTGCCTTAGCCTGGGCTACTTCCTCTTCGACCTGTGCTGGTGCGTGTACTTCCAGACGGAGGGTGCCCTGATGCTGGCCCACCACCTGGTGAGCATCGTGGGCATCGCGGCCTCGCTGGCCCTGGGCGAGTCGGCCGCCGACGTCAACGCCGTCATCTTCGGCAGCGAGATCACCAACCCGCTGCTGCAGGCCCGCTGGTTCCTCAAGGAGACGGGCTCCTACCACACCCTGGCGGGCGACCTGGTGGATTTCTGCTTCGTGCTCCTGTTCACCGGCGTGCGCATCGGGATGGGCGCCTGGCTGATGTACTGCGAGCTGGCCTCGCCCCGGCCCCGCTGGTACATCAAGCTGGGGGGGGTGGTCATGTACGCCGTGTCCTGGGTGTTCATGCTCAGCATCTGCCGCTTCGCCAGGAGGAAGAGTGTGAAGAAGTACCGGGCGTGGAGGAGCCGGAGGGGCGGCGAGCTGGGCCTGAAAACCAACGGGCACCTGAAGACCCACTGAGGGGGGTGCTGAGGAGGGAATTCCTCGAGTTCACGGCACCTGGAGAGGGGGAAATACCGTGCCTGAGGTCGGGAGAGGAGCCAGCACACGTTAGCAGTCCTGGAGACAGATTCATCCCTGGTGCAGCTCCACTGAAATCCGTGGGGCTGTGCCATGGATTAGGCAGCGTTTGGCCTGGCAGGGGCTGGGTGAGCTCACGAGGGGAAGAAGGGCTAATTTTATACACTGACCATTAACTAGTCCAGCAGTGCAGGTGTAAATAGTGGTGTGAGTAGAAAACTCCTTCAGCACTGGTAGAACCTTGGAGAGGAGAGGAGGAGATAACAGTAGGTCTTCACGTTCGGTGTCCTGTGCAGTGTAGGAGTGTTCATACTGGTAGGAAGAAGCATGTTCTAGTGTTGCATCAAATTCCTGGCTCTTCCACCAACTCGCTGTGTGACCTTGGGCAAGTCACATGGCTCTAACTCTGTGCCTAATTCCCCATCTCTGTGACTTGGGGGTGATGGAGCTGATCCATCTGTGTTATGCACTTTCAGATTTTTCCTTGAGAGGTGCTACGTAAATGCAGAGTGATGGTTGTTAACCTGCACTTCCTTCATTATCCCGGTGTTCCCTTTGGGAGAAACGGCTTTGGTGGTTGAGCTAGAGTGTGACTCTAGAAAAATCAGTATTTTAGGTAGGTTGTTGTTTCCTACCCTTTCTAATTCCTTTTAATAACTTATTTATTAACATATTGATAACTTATTTTTCTGTAGTGTCCAGAAGCTCTAATCAGCACTGGAGCCTTACAGGACTAGAGGTGCTCTGTGAATACACCCAAAGACACAGCCCCTGATGGGAAATGCTTTTATAACTTCTCCCTCTTCATATCCCTGACTGTTAAAACTCCACCCATCCCCTACAGAACACTCCTTTTAGCTCCTTGAATGACTCTGTTGGGAGAAGCCCCATCAGGACTTGCCAGTAAGGGATTTTCTGGTTGATTTGTCTGCAGAACGCCACAATTCCCTCTGCTGTGCTTATTTACCCAAATCCAGACTGGGATTTCTGGTTGAAGAGTGGCCACCCAGCATCTCCAAAACCCACTGGCTGAGGTGGAATTGCTGCCCAGCTCCGAATTTGTCCTGTGCAAGCCAGAGACCTGATCTTGGCTCTCCTTCATCTGAATTGATGCCTTGACCTCTGGGGCTTTGAATTCACTTTGTCTCCCTCACTGGATCTGTGTCACTTTATAAAACGAGCATTTATAGGCTCAGGGAGACTTGTTTTGCAGCTTAATAATTAAAGAAGTAGAGAGGCACAGAATGTGGCCTTTTTTAATAAAAAAAAAAAAAAAAAAAAGTGAGCCTGACTGGGAGAAAAAAATAATCATTACTTATCTGGTCCCATTTGCAGGGAAAAATTATCCCCAGTTGGCAGCTTCTGGTGTTTGTTCCACTGCATATTCTTCAGCTGTTCCTTTGTTGTTGCTGTCATTATTAGGACCATTTCATCTGAGCCTCAGCACCAGCAATCCAGTGCAGCTCAGGGCCTGAGCCTCCCCTGCTGCAGCCAAAGACCTGGAGAGCCCCCCAAAAAAAGCCCTTCAGATGAGCAGAGCCAAGTGGGGAGCTGGTCCTGAAAAGGAACCTTGACTCATCCAGCACTACTGAGCCTTGAAGGGGGACAAGAAGGGCTTGTTGGGGCTTGCTGGTTCTTTCCCAGCTCTCCTGAGCGTGTCAAGGAGCCTTTTTTGCCTCAGCTTACCTACTTTCTGCAGTGGGTACAGCATTACCTACCTCGTGGGGTGTTTCCATTTGACACCGAGCCCCTCCTTTGATGAATGTTGGGTGATTTGGGCTGCCTAAAAGCAAAATGCTGGTGCTTTGAGCCAAGCACTTCTGGCTGTGACCCATCAGCAGCACTTTTGGTCAGCTGGGCATGGCACTTCCCAGCATCTGCTTGCCTCCCAGGAGCCGAGTCCGAGGTGTTTTGTGAAGGTGCTCTATGGGCAGGAGCCAAAGGGACTAAAGCACGTGCTGCTTCTGGTTCACATGGACCCCCCCCAAGCTGAAGGAAGGATGTCTGGTGGGTTCTCCCTGGCGAGGATTGCAGTAAATCTGGAGCCAGAAGAGTTTTCAGCAGCCAGCCTGACCAGGGAAAGGGGCTTTCAGCAGCAATGCCTGAATTTAAGGTAGGTGAGAACAGCCTGCTCGTTTCTCAGTGCAGCTGTTGGACTTGCCCAGCAAGAAGAGCTTCCTGAGCAGCCCTGGTGGTTGGGGCTCTGAGGTTTGGTGTGCAGTTTGTGTGTGGTTACCTGGACATCCCACACCTGCCCAGGGGAATGAGAACACCACTGACTGCAGGTTCCCTGTGTGGAGATGTTTGGAATTACAGTGGTCCCCCTTCTTTGAGCTGGGGCGGGGGGAACTTGGTTGGAAGGAGAACGTGGATCAGTGGCTTTAGAAGTTAAACAAAGGCACCAGCAAACAAAAGGGCAATTAGGAACAGCTTTATGAGGTGGAGCTGCAGCAGCATCTCAGAGCAAGGCCTCGTAGTCTGTCTGTGGCTCCAGCACAGGCTCACACTCCTAAAAGTACAACTCCCAAGCTGTGGAGCACAGGGTGGGACCTGTCCTCAGGCTAGTCCATAGTGGCTAGAGCAAACTGTGAGAGGAAACTGCAGAGCTAGCGTGGAAATAATAACTTGTGTTTGAATTACTGTGTAATAGCAACTAATGTTCCACCAGTGAATGGTGTAGATGCTTTGTATTATGTTTTATAAAATAAAGATTATTTGATTATACGAGGATATCTTTTTGGATGCTGTTCCTAAGTTGCACTGTGGGTTTTGGATGAGAGTAAATGAGCAAAGGGATGGTCGGTGGGTGCTTTTTTTTTTTCACAACAACTTGTGCAGCTTTCAGCACTATGGCTTCTGGGGCATTGTTCTCTGCAAGGTTGTCTGAGGAGCACTCAGTTAAAATTTTGGGACGAATTTCTTCGTGGAAAGGGCTGCCCAGGGAGGTGGTGGGGTCCCCATCCCTGGAGGTGTTGAAGGAACAACTGGATGTGGCACTCAGTGCTCTGGGCTGTGATTGATCAGGGGTGGACTCGATGATCCTGGAGGTCTTTTCCAACCTCAGTGATTCCGTGGTTCTGTGTGTGATTCAGTTATACAGAGCAAAAATGTTCCCTTTGTTTCCCATGCTAAGGGACAAGGTTCTCCTGTGTTTCCACAGCTTGACCTCTCCTCGTTCATAAATATTGTTGCCTAGGAGTTGCCTCAGTGGGAAGCCTGCTAGGAAGAGGCTGTGTTTTAGCACTATTTAATGTTTAACTTAATTTAACGTTGCCGTGGGGGTACCTGCAGCTGTAGAGACGAGCCTGTGTCAGCACTGTGCAGAGGTGCAGCTTTAATCAGGGCTCTGAGTGGTGCTGCTCTGTCTCTGCTGTGGTGTTTTTGCTCCTGTACTGGGGATCTGCCTCCGTTCAGAGCCAGAGAGGCACTGCTGGCGGTGCAGCTGCTGGGGGCTGGGTGTATCGTGTTGTGTTCATGCCCCAGAGCTCCCTGGGCAGGGCTGTCCCGATGTGGTGAAGGAAATGGGAGCTGCCAGGAGGATGTGCAGGGCTCAGGGGCTTCTTTTGCCCTCGGTGCAGCAGCTGAGCCCTGGGAAAGCCACCAACACACACAACAGCTTTGTCAAGTCACTTGGAAAGCTGTGTGCTTCTTTTAAAAGATCTGCTTCAGGGGCTGCTCCTAAAATTGGAGGGGAGGAAAACACTTCTTTCTCAGTGATGCTGAAGAGACCTGGGCACCACCAAGGATTTCTATGAGCCAGGCACTGGATAAATCCAGAAGGGAAGGAGGGTCCTGTCCTGTACCAGCAGCTCTGGACCTCTGTGTAACCGAGGAGTTAGGCTTTTGTAGTGTGCTGGTAAATTAACAGCCACTCTGCTTGCCTCTGGCCACAGCGTTTTACCAGGGATCCAGTGTGCCAAAAGTCTGCTTTCTATAAATAGTTAAGCCAATTTAGCTGTTTGCATGTAACCCTTCCATCGGGCTGGAAATCCTCCGGCGCTGGGGAAGCAGCTGCTGAGCCCTCTGGAGCTGCTGGCCTGTTTACAACACACAGGCAGCCCTGGGAGCGGGAGGAAAGGGGGTCTCAGGGACCACAAGAATTCATGCTGGGAGTTTGTTTAACCCCTGAGTTAGCCCAGGAGCAGAGAGGAAAGCACAGCAGCGTTCTGAAGCTTTGCTTTAGAGCTGCAAGCGTCCTCCAGGTTTGATGTCTTCTGGAAGGACGTGCCAGAATGTAGCCTTAAGTCAGTGGACAGATGTGCTTGGACTGTAGACTGAAATCTGCCCCTCTACACCCAATTAATTTAATTTTTTTATTGTCCTGTTACTTCTTTAAAGCTTTTCCTGCTGCTTGCCTACTGGCCCTGCAGTAGAGCTTTATAAAAATGAACCTCTTCTTTCAGTCCCCTGCCCTCTTTTTGTAGCTGAACTCTTTATTTGTGTTTGAAGAAATTGCAATTTTTTTGATATTCATGGCTTTATTCCCTTGCAGCAATAGTCCAAGCACGGATGTGAAAGCATTCTAAGTCTTTGAAATCTGCTATTAGACTGATACCAGTGCTGTCAGCAGGTCTTTCTTGGACAAAAAGGATGAGGGAATGGTTTAAGCTTCACGGTGATATTCTTGTCACTTGCAGATTTTTTTATAGTCTGGAAATAAAATAACATGGAGTCTTCTATGTCCAAAGAAATCAAATTTCAGTGAGGGAGAGAGAATCTTTCAGCATTGGCTTTGTGTGCCTTAAGCAATTTCTGGGCAAGGAGCAACTCTTTTTCAGTTATACCAATGAACCAGCTCTCTCCAAGTCAGCTTCAGTAAGTGCTCTAATAAATCTGTCTAAGAGAAGGTGTTTGATTTACCCTGTTTCCCTCAGGTTCCAGGGGCAGCTTGGCAGCTGATAAGTTGGCAGCATAAGGGATCTTTAGAAAATTAATGAGGAAAACTGAATAGATCCAAGGTATATGGGAAAGCTTTTGTAAAGTCAAGAGTGGTTTACAGGTAATTCATTTTGAATGAGAAGGAGAAAGTGTCAGGTTCTGCAGCTTCTTAAATGCTACAAACCACAGGTTTTCAGCAATATTTGTGTTTTGCTG